GGAAACGAAACTAGACCAACAGTCCAAGCAAGCGCTTGTCGGTGGTGCGAAGCAGAAGATGCATGCAGATCAAGGCGTGAGTATGTTGTGTTTGTATCGATGCAAACTCATCTTTTCGACGCACGTGTACAAACCAATCCCGCATTCATGTAGCGACACGCTTGCCGAGATAGACAACTCGTTCCCGACATCCTTGCATTCCGCTTGTGGAAATCGGAACTCCTCTGAATTTGAATCTAGGTCTGATCAAACAACGGCGAGGGAAGGTGCGCAGACTGACTTCATCTGCAGTGACAGCAGGAGACATTCATCAACATGCGACGTGCAACCGCAAACACAGTCAGTTAGTGGGCGACGGAGTTTTTCCAGTTCCGATGGAGACATACCCCAAACACAGAGCACACACTCAAGGGCGACCCAAATGTGTGCGCCAGATGCAGAGGGAACAGTGTTCCAGCACCGAGGCCGAACACGCCATCAAGCAGGTACAACAATGGAAATGCACAAATCAACCACGCCACCGCAGCAGTAAACGGCTCAAAGGCACAGTGCAGGAGTCAGGAGGGCAGAGCCACAAGGGACGGCAGAGGCATCGAACCGACATGCCGAATAGCGACTCTCAGTGTCCATCGTCGGCGAGAGCAACCATAGGGCAATGTGTTAGACGGCATGCAACAGCAGTCAAAATAGTCAAACTTTCTTATACACAAACGCGGGGTGCCAGTCTCACAGTTTCAGCGCTGGACCACTCACGGCTTGAGCCATGATATTAAAATGATACAAGAGGGTACTATGGCCCTCGCAGGAGGGCAGCGAGGAGGGTGGGGAGTGCTCATCGGGACCAGGTCCCTTAGTACCGCCCCGGGGTCAACAAGCACCCTGTGCGTCCCCGACCCGAACGACTGCTAGGCCCGGGGGGGCATGCCTAATTTACAGCTTGAAGGTGCAATTACACTGGACCCGCTGGAGGCGACCTGCCGCAGGGCCCTCGTGGAGGTGCGCCGCCTGCTGCGCTCCGGGCCGCATACGGCCGCCTCGAATCGAAACACTCGCAACCAGACGACCAACAGAGAAAAATCCTGAGGACATGCAGCAACAATGCTGGTGCTAATGAACTGAGAAGAGTGAGAGTTGCACGGGTGAGACACGAATTGGCGTATTTGCAGTGATAGCGAGACTGGTATTGTCAGAGGCAGTAGACGCCACAAAAAAATAATAAACAGCAAGAACGGTGCACGAACGATACTACCAAGACATGCTTCCAAACTGCCCTCATGGCAAGGATAGACGGGGAAGAACTGCAGATCGAACGGCTGCCGCACTACAGCTTACAGACTTTTGTTGATTCAGCTTTATGGCACATTGAGCATCTCGTTTTGCCCCAACTTGTCTCATTTGCCTGGTAGAACCTCAAGATGCCTCTGTGAAGCTGGGAGGTTGAAAGAATGGAGCAGGGAGCGTGCCTTGTGTGCCCCTGCTGTGTCTAAGACCGGCCCATTGTTCCCTGGTCCCAAGACGCGCAAGCAGAATTCGTTAGGCTCCACACAACTGCTAATCCCTCGACAAGATATGGAAATCCTATAGTCAGTCCTACAGATTGCTTGTAGAGTTCTTCGAGTTAAGTAAACTGTCCCACAGACACTTTGTGTAAAAAAACTCGCATGTGCTCACGACGCTGGCCCCGCGAGGGCTGGGCGTGGGTTTCTTGCAGCAGGTTGGCCACCATCACAGACTTCTTTTGCATACAAAACCCTGTACAGTGACAATACTCAGGTTACACTCCTGCTGACAAGCAAAAGGGGGCTCGTGCTGCAGAAGGGCAGTCCTAAAAATTTCCTTCAGGAACTGGAGAGCTTAAGGGCTCAGGGTTTTGCAGCAAACATGAATTTCACTTGATGGATTCGTAGCATTATCTCCCAAGCGCTGCGCTCGAGCATCAGTGCCAATGCTTGAGAAAGAAATAGCTTGATAGTGTCTGCCTTGCTGCTTGGCTTTTGTGTTCTTACCCAGATGGCCTGAGACTCCGTGCCAGCTGAGTGCAACTTGAGCGCAGCTGCACAAGCACGCCTACCTTGGGGCAAGGCTGATGCCAGCTTCGACTCTGTTCTCGAATACTGCACTTCAAGTTGATGTTGATGTCATGGCAATCATGACTACGCTGATGTCCTCGACTCATCTCAACATTTGGCACAACTGTCAGCGGGCTTATCGCAGTGCCAGTACCTTCCTTGTCTTGAGTGTAGGGAATCGCTTGGGCAAGTGATTCTTAACGACAAAGAATATGGCTGGTTGCGGCTGGTTGCCCCGCTTTCGCCGGCTGCTTCTGGAGAGCTCTGTATTTAGGCTAGCCAGAACTTGAAGAAATCTAGCTTATTTAACAGGTCTCAGTCTGCACCACTGTGCCAGAACTCTGTGTTTCAGTACGGCTCAAGGCGGAGCTCCTGCCTGGGTCAGGAAGGTGTGAGCTAGATGCTCTGCGCGACACGTACTCGCATTCGGGAGCATGGATGCGTGCTCCAAGCCGCAGTGTCACGAGGGCAAAAATGCTACCAGCGGGCGCTCTTGCACGGTTGTTGTGCCGATGCGTGCCTGCAGCAGTCAATGGGCTAGCTGTTGTTGTCTCTGCAAGTTCCAGTTGAAAGGAGGACGCAATCAGCAATTGCACACTGCATCTGCGACAATTCTCGGTTTGGCATGCAACTGCTATGCTGCTCCAGCAAATGGTCACCGATTACATGTTTGCTTACCACGTCCTGCATGAACCAATACACGCTGAACCGCGAAGCTCTGCAAAGAGTTGGGGCCCCTGGTGCAAACAAGTCGGAACCCTCTCGGTCTGCCGAGGAACCTCCGCAGCGCCCGAAATCAGGGAAGCCAATGCCGCGGCTCCGGTGCTGTGCAGGAGTGTTGGGGTGGTTATATGCAAACCCTCACCACAGTCGCGAACCGGTGGCGTCCGGAAAAACTCGTCCTATGCCTGTGTGGTTAGAGTTCAGAAGCTCCAACACATGAGGTCCTTACCTGGGCCGCAGCACGCCGCCCACCACATCCGGTTCCTCCGCCAGCAGCTCCAAGCAGCAGAGGCCGAACCTGGGCGGTGGAACCCGCATGACACATGCCGAGAGCTGGAAGCGATGCTGCGACAGCTCTGCGATCGGAGTGGGCGCGTGGCTCGCGGCCCTTCGGCTCCGTGCCTAATGCCTCGGCTGCCAAAAGAAAGCGACGGCGGTCCTCCAAATGCAAACATGGAAAGGGTCATCAGTGCTGCTCGAGGGCAGGATGGAAAGGAAAGCAATGAACGGAGGACGGCTGCACTGTACTGAGCCTCAAAGCCACCAACAAATGCATGCGAATGTCCTCCGGGATCGTCGCCAGCGCGGCGACAAATGCCCCAGGTTCCCGGGGCAACACCAGCAAAGACTTTGGGGTGCCTGCAGAACATGTTCGGGCTCGCAGGCGACGCTCATCCAGTAAAGTCGAACATTGTAAGCATTCCAAGACTTTCCAGGAAAGTCTGTTTGTTCTAGGATTTTTGTTTTTCCCTGGGAACGCTCCCTCATTTGGCGATTCCGGATGGTCATATATATATATATATATATGAAACACGCCCCCTCGTTTGGCCACTCCGTTTCATCATATATCATATATGTTAAACTGCCCTCTCATTTGGCGATTCCGGTTCATCATGTATCTTAAACACGCCCCTTCATCTGGCGATTCCGTGTCATCAGATATCTTAAACACGCTCCCTCATTTGGCGATTCCGCTTCAACATACATCCTACTCATGTGGCGATTCCGGTTCAAGGTTCCACATATGTCTCATTTGCCGATTCCGTGGTATCAGATATCTTAAGCACGCCCCCTCATTTGGCGATTCACGCCCCATCATCTGGTGATTCCAGCTCATCATATGTCTTCAACTGCGCTGTCATTTGGCGGTTCCGGTTCATCCTATGTCTTATACACGCCCCCGCATTTGGCGATTCCGGTTCATCATATATCTTAAGCACGCCCCCTCATTTGGCGACTCGGGTTCATCATATATCTTAAACATGCACCCTCGTTTGACGATTCCGGTTAATCATGTCATACATTCTAAACACGCCCCCTCGTTTGTCGAAAACAATTGACATTTAGCAAAATAGCAAAAAACACTAACAACTAACACAAAGCCCATAAAACCCATTTGCCATTCCGGCTCATCATAACCAGAGGACCAAGGAACGAGAGGACCAGAGGACCAGAAGATCAAGGAACTGCAACACGAAGCGTGTAGAGGACCAGGGGACTAGGGCTGACTAGGGAAGCAGAAGAGCAAAGGAACAGGGATCGGGTGGCCAGGCGACCAGAAGACCAGGAGGCCAGAGAAACCACCGGGCCAAAACAAAAGACGTAGTAGAGAGTTGGAAAACCGCGGGACCGAAGACCCTAACGATTTGGACGAGAGGACCAAAAGACCACGGGACCCGAGGACGGCGAGACCAGAGGACCACGGGACCAGAGGACCACGGGACCGGAAGACCAGGGCACCAGAGGACCCTGCAAGCAGAAAACAAAAAAAATAAAAAACAGATAAAAGCAAAAACAAAGCCTGGAAAGAAATATACTTCCATTCCCAGCAGTTGTTTTGGCGAGGTGCCGAGCCTGAGCCTCCGGAACTCTCTCACAGAAGACCCAAGGCAAGGTTACGGGCAGCTCAGTTGAATCGGTCGCCTGATGCCCAGAGCGCGAAGGCAAGGGCAAGCGCTCTGCCGACAAGGCGCCGCATGGGGTAGAAAGCCCATGAGTGTGTAAAGCAGATCTAAAACTCCTTTCTCCATTAACGAAGTTTTTCGTGATGCGGGAACAGGGCAGGGAAGGTGATCACGTCATTTCTCCACGATCTCGTGCTTGAGCGATGCTGCGAGGCGTGCCGAATGGCCAATTGTAAAGGGATGCATCCACTCTGCTTGGAGTGCCTCCTGAGCCCAGCCCCCCAGCTCTCAGCCCTTCCGGTTCCTTCTCGCGGAGGAGTGCCAAGACCCGGCCCGGTGTACCTTAGAGGCCGTGCCCAAACCCCGGCCTTTACTTGAACCTCGGACTTTCTCACGCAGCCAGCCCGTACTTCCGCAGATTCCAGGCCAAGGCACCAATCAAGATATGCGGGCACGAGTCCTGGCTGACAAGATACGTGCCGGGCAAAGCATGTTGCTACTTGGCACCAATAGGTCGCCTAGTGACAACAACTTAGCTTCTGAAAATTCGGAGATTGTCTTCACATCGTCAACTCTGCCAGACGCTCTTTGCAAGCCATCGCCCAACACAACGATTCGTCCTGAACTCCGGCTTGCGCACCTCGCCTTAAACTCAACAACCAGCCATGGTTCCGCCTACCCTCCGGCGAACCAAGAATCGAAGGCACCGGATGCGCTGCAGCCCCTGCAGAAATCACCCACTCCACTCGTCCTTAAGGAGATCTTTGTCGTTCTGCATAGGGGTGCCGCCGTACACCACAGCAGTTTTGATCTCCTTGGCCGGACACCGTACAAGAGAAGAGGCTCGTTCCGGCAAAATCACACAAGGCCAGAGACGTACAGGCACAAGTGCACAAACTGTTTCTGGACGTCTCGTACTAGTGCATCTTCAGCTGCTGGTACACGGTCTACATCCTGCAACGGTGCACCTACACGAGTCCCAAATTCCAAAGAATGATTGTAGGGCAAATGTAATTTTTGCCTTGGAAGGCTCTTCGATTCCAAGTTACGACTAATCGAAAGCATTCGTCCTGGTCAGCGCAATCACCCTAGACAGCCTGTCGCTCGTCTCTTCCGAGCTGCTGGGAAGTACTTGGCAAAGCGCTCGAACTCGTGCTTGATCTGGTACCTGGGCCCGTCTAGTGACTTCGAAGAGCACAACTGCTGCTCCCGGCAGCAGCGAGAAGTATGCTTTTCATGGGCAAGATGCGCCAGCTCGCGGGTGTGGCAGATCACTAGAGTTCGAACGGCCTGGGACTCAGATCGAACCACATGAGCCTCCGAAAGCAACGAGAGCGGCAGGCCTTCTCCGATGAATCTACCTGCACAGGGCCGTCGTCTCCGGCACTCAGTGATGGGACGCTGAAACCCATGCGTGCCTGTTGCAAACAGGCCAAGACAAACACCGCGGTCTTGCCCATGCCGGACTTCGCCTGCCACTTCGCATAACAGCCACGCACCCTGTTGCACTCCTATCGACATCTTTTGACTCTGGCAGATTTCCAGCATCCTGCCGACTCTCAATTCCAAAAAGAACCACTTCCCTCTCCTGGCACAGCACGTCCGTTCCGAGAATAGCCTTCGACCGGATGTGTTCTTGGTGCTTCAGTCTTCTGGAGGAGATTGGAGGACCATGCCGTCACGACAACCGTCCGGGATGTCTGTTGCAGGAGCTATCTTCGAGGTTATGCTGGTCTGAGGTTACATGCTCTACGAGCTGACTTGCAATTGACTTGCATCTCTCGCCAGAAAGCACCCAGCCCAGCACGACCCAGACTGACTGCAATGACGACATGCGAAATCCCTGTTGAGAACCCTGTCACCCTGCCTGTGGGATGCACTCGTGCTGCACCTGCGGTCGGGGTTTGCATCCGGAAAGGCAAAGGCGAGGCTGGGTTGGAGGATCAGATGTCAAGATGGGTTTGCAGAGAACAGCAACAAAGCTTGGCACCTCCGAAGGGTGCTCGAAACCGCAATCCACGATGGCACGGATGAGCTCGGCCCTGACCACGGGCAAAGTCTGCAAAATGCTCCGATGATACTGGGGCCATGCAGTTTGAGTGCGGGTTGTGACTGTGCTGTAATGGCCGTATCTTGTCACAACACTGTCAGAGGATGTCATAACAAGAATCAGCATGTCTGCCCACCACGCGCGACGACGACTGCGAGAGAGTAAGTGAACAATATTGAACAATTTTGATATGCAGTTAGCCTTCTGATTCTGATGGCGTGAACAGCCGAAACCATCACGCTGCAGCAAAACGACTGACAGTTTGTCTTCGAATCACTGAGGCACCGCACTTCAGCAGGAAGTCCTTGAAGCCGGAAGCATGGAGTGTGGCCTGGTTCTTCTTCGCCTTGAGCACGCCGAGGAATGGAGACAAGAACGATGGTTTTTCTGCGCTATGTTTAAGCAGAAGCTAGTGTTCGATGTCAATTAACCTTGTTGGGCTTTGGCTTTCGTAGGGTATGTTGCTGTTCTGACTGGAAGTTCCATCTACCTATCTAAACCTATCTGTCTATTTGCAATATTCAAACCAAGCATACATGTACATTCAAGGGTCAAGACAATCCTTCTAAGCAAAAACCTTTTGTGTCTGCATACACTCGAAATGATTGCACTTGAAACGTGCTACGATGACGATGAGCATGTACCACCAGGGCTGTTGTTGTCAGTATCTTTGTTGTTCGGTTAGGACTTGTCCGTTTCTCTAGTGCTTGCAAAGGCTTGCAGACACAGAAGCTTTGAAAGCACGCACTGCTTTGATGCCAATGCAGGACAAGTCCGGAGTCGGTGAGACGGACTCGGAGAAGTAACTGAAAGCGCGATCGGAGACCGGTTTCCGAGACACAGGGCGATCGGGCTAAATCACATCAAGCCGGATGCTTGACCCGCAAGGGGAACCGCCCCAAGAAGATTCAGGAAACGGCATCGGAGGCAAAGTAACCTCGAAAAAAGTCAGAGGACGGGAACAGCTGAAGCTGTGGCGGACCGGACAGCAAGGACCAGTCCAATTGGAAGGCCTGAGAAGGTGGAAAACCCAGGTGGGGTGGATTGGCATCACCAACAGGCAGATTCGGAGGCAGAATTATCGGAACGGAAGACCACATGGATTGGTAAGCGTCCCGTCCAAGAAGTTGATGCAACATCAAAAGAAGGGCACCTTAAGCGGCCAGCTCCCAGGTGGCGATGTACGACTGTAGGGAACGATCGGGCGGAAGCCACGGAAACAGTGCCATCATCTGGGCCCGAGAGAACCTGTTCTGAAAGAGTCGGGGAGACGACGACAACGCCCATGCCCACCGACTCGGGGTCGGAGCAAGCATCTTGCAAACACAATGCACTCGAACTTGGGGGGGGGGGGGCAAAATCAATGAACGGAGGTCGGAACCGAGCACTAGCACTAGCAGTATATAGCACTGGAACTGGGACTAGTACTAGTACTAGTAGTAGTACTAGTACTAGTAACGGTACCAGTACCAGTAGTAGTAGTAGTAGTAGTAGTAGTAGTAGTAGTAGTACTAGTAGTAGTAGTAGTAGTAGCAGCAGTAGCAGTAGCAGTAGCAGTAGCAGTAGTAGTAGTAGTAGCAGCAGATATACGGAT